TTCTGGTGTATGACACTGGCAAATCTTCTAACACAGGTGTTAAATGTGCGTTTACAGTTGCATTTGATGTCTGTATTAAATGTTCCATAAGATAAACCAGTGTTTTGTTAACTGGTTCAGTCACCAAACATCATGCTCAGGTCTTACAGTAAAAGCGCACACTTTCTGTTGTGAGCTACATTTTTACACAATGTTTGTAGCTCACAGTTACTGTATGCTTCCTCACACTGTCACCAATTAAGTTAAACACAGACTGTTCCTCTGTGCTATGGTCAGGCCTGAAAGCACAGTTCCTACTGCTTATTGCTTCAGTGTTGCAGTGACATGTTTTCCTGTAGAGTAAGAATCAGAGGCAGATCTGAATAATGGATACCATTTTGGCTTCAGAAAGAAAAGCAAAGCACAAAGGTCCACTTACTGACTAAAAGCTCGTATTGTTTTAAGAGACAATTGGCTATGAAAATTACCTTAATTACAATTTTAAATGAGCATCACTGTACTACTTCTGTTCAGACGAGGTTTTTAAATTCATCAGCTGAACGTTTTTTTTTTAATCTCCGCCTCTGAAATCTTCATTTGTGTTCCCATCACCAGATGTGAGATGCTGGGTGCTGCTTCATTATCCCAGCAGGTCAGCGGGCCCAGTATTGACCTCTCGCAGACGGCCAACGTGACATGCTAACTGAGTCGGATCCCCAGCAACATCTCTGAGAGGTGAAACCTAGCAACACATGTGGCATGACGCTCTATGGAGTGTGTAGGTTCTGTCCTTTGTTTCCTAACAACCCGTAATCAGACGGCTCACTGAGTCAAGTGTCAAACAGCCAGCATGTTGTGATATACTGTGCAGTTATTCAAAGTATTAGAGATAAGTCTTCCGTAACTAGGAGAGCTACAGATTTAAATGCATCTTCTCCTACAGCTTGATCTATTTATAGTTATTTATTATTAATTACTGATTATATAAAATACAAGATGACTCTAAACTGTGTTCCCAGTTTTGTGACACTGCAGAGACATTTCTGACATCTATTTAAGGCACAATTTTCCTCTCAAGGAGTCGGTTATGAGTTTCACTTTTCTGTAAGTCTTGCTGTCTTTCAGTTTTCTTGTGTGACCAGTGAACTGCACTCCAGATATTGATGGAAAAATTCCCGAGGACATAGAGTTTAGGTTGCCTAAACTTCTACTGGCCCGGCAGTGCAGAGTTTTTACTGTGTTTTTAGGGAATATTAAAAACTCCTTTAGCATTTAAATAGTCAAAAGGTTTCTATGTGTTTATGTAGAAATTGTGCCCAAGCAAATGTGTTAATGTATTATTAATGGGCTGATTAGCACAGTTATTTACAGTGTGTTCCCCCGGTTAAAACTTGATCACAATGTCTCAGATGGACCTGGACTTACTGTTAACAGTAGATACAGTATGTTTGTTTCTGATATCCAAAAGACACTAAACATGTGAGGAAACTATAAAGACAAGTAAAGAGAATGTTCTGAAAATGATAACTGATTGCTTTGTTCATAACATATCCATCCACATACCCATCTGGAATCAGGGCTGAGGAAATACTGTAGACTGATCTAATTAATAAATACGCAGACCAGTACTGACTGACTCCATCGTCTTGGTTGTTTAAAGGCACCCTGCGGAGTTTTCTTGTAAACAAATCAAAACCCAAAATGAAAACATTTGTATATTTTAAATCAGGCAATGTTTATATCATGGACTGTTTAAAAATAATGGATAACGTCATCATGACATCACTCATTAGTCTGTGGACGTATTGAAGCCTTAAGTTTTGCAATTTGGCCGTCGCCATCTTGGTTTTTTGGAGCCAGAAGCGACCATGTTTGGATGAGAGAGTGAAGCTGTGGAGGAGCGAGAGGTGGAGCCACAGGAAACTATCGACAGACAGCCTGTCACTCAATTATGCGCAACTTGTCATGGCATCTTAGCGTGGAGGTCTAGGGGGACTGACTCATTGTTGGAGCCAGCCCCATCGGCCATTCAAAGAACTGCAGCTTTTGACGCTTTCCCATTGGCTTCATTTTTCAGCCCCAAAGGTTGCTGTTTGGTTTAAATCCATGCTAGCATAGCTCCGCAGCTTGGAGTGTTACTTCCACCAACTGTTGATTAGCAAACTAGCGTCGAACCACCAGTGAAAAACATGTATCACGTCACCTGCTAGAGGCATGAGTAGGTTATGACACAATTGGCCCTCAGACACAGACATGTAAAAGGGCCCCCACCCCTTTAAGAAGTACGACCTCAACTGAAAGAGCCACATAACTTAGTTTTCAAGATGAAGTCTGTGTCTGTGGTCATTCGATGTCCCTTTGTAGTTGCTGTGCATCATTTTGTGGTGGTGCGTGAAATTAACATTGGTGAATATTTGCTTCCTGTTCACCTCCATTAAATGTGACATTTGCATCCGGTAGCAAAGCAAATATGCAGTGGCGCTGAACTCTGGTGAACTCTGACCAGCACAGCCTCAACCAGAAGCAAAAATAGATGTGTGGACACTGATTGCTGCCGTGTCTAACCAGCCGATATTGTTATGATACTGGCCATGAAAAATAAAAACTGCTCCACGTGAGATGCTGCCTGGCTGACAGTGAATTAGGAGACAGGCATGGAATGTAAGGAAATGGGGAATGTACCAGTGACATCATATTTTGATATTTATTAGCAAGCTAGCTAACATTAGCTGGCGAGTCAGCTTTCCGTGTGTGTCACATCCTACACAATTATTGCCCTGGCAGGCGATGGTCACTCAACTACATTTGTGCCCTAAATCTTGTATGGAGGGTGTCAGGGGTGGTCAGTCAGATACCATGCTGGGCCTGTGGTGACCCGCCTTTGCATATGGAAGAATGGGTGCGTGCAAGATTCTAAACTAAAGGGGGGCCCCATCATAAAGCCATCGCTCCACAGCGCTCCTAGTGGTCAAAAACTCCACAGGATACCTTTAACTCATCATCATCGTATTACTCTAGTAATTATAACGAAGTAACTATTAGGTCAAACAGTCAAACTTCTGGTCGGCTGACTGTGATTGTTGGATGGAAAAAAATAATAAAATCAGTCATTTCTGGGAAACTCTCATGGTCCCTTCTTCGCCCATCAACCTTAAACAAACACTAAATATAAAAGACAAGTCTGAATGGTACAATCAATACTGACACACAGCACAGTGACACACACAGGCACACAGTACCAACAGCATAGTTCTGATTAAAGGATTACTATAAGGACACTTATGCTTGAATCTGTACAGGTAAAATATTTCCTTTTTCATAAAATTTCTTATAAAGTGTCGATGCAATTAACATCAAAAATTGCATAGCCATCTCTAATCTGTTACCTCTACCAGACTGCAATCACTAATCTAAAATATGTCGCTGTGAATGAGAGAAGTTACATGTTTATCTGCTCAAAGATGATATACTCAAACATAGGGCCGTATCTGTATGAATGCAGAGCCGTGATTGTACTGTTCAGGCCAACAGAAAATTATTTATACATAAAAGCAAATTTGCTTGGAAAGAACAAAGAAAATATTATGTTAAAAAGGGAAATGCATTCAACAGCTGCCTACTGAGGATTTTCTCTTTGACACTGAGAATTACCATGTGTGACTCCTGTGGTCCCGATCGATAAAATGTAAGTTTAATATAGTTGCGTACAAAACACAGCAAATATGGCAGCTTAAATTCAATTCTTTGGTGTTCAAGTTATGCAGAACTGTGTTGCAATAATGAGCTTCAGTGTGTAATGTGATCCCTATTCGTGTACCGTCTGTGGGTTTGCAGTGTAACAAACACTAAAGAATAAAAGAAGTGTTCTCTGCAGCTTACTGTAAATACTGATAAAGCTACAGACACACGTCCATCCATTCGTCTTCACCTGCAGGGCAGGTGTGTCAAACATTTTGCATGTTTCGGTGGAGTCAGAAAAATGTGGGCGTGCATGCATACATGCGCACCCTGGCTAGAACAGGCCGGTTTAAGGTGATTATGATAGGAGATAATAACTGAGTGATGACGTATATTGTAACGGTTAACTGGTGGGTTTGGAGTGATTTCAGCAATAGCTTCACATTTTGGGAAATATGCTTGAAATATGAAGCCACTTTTTTGCCCTTGCCTCTTTTAGTTTGTTGTGTTGTTGACTGCTAAATATGATGTGCTGTTTAAAAGGGTTGGTGTAGTGTCCAAGTTATATTAAATTACTTTATTGTAATGTTTTGCCCTGTAATATTTAAGTATCTGCCATTTTCTGTGAGAGGCTGCGACTTTATTTACATGAAATTACAGATTAAAAATGACGCTCTTATTTCTATTTGCAGACCGAAATAAATTCAAACTTCTTTTATAATATTACAATATTTTACCCCCTAAATGACCATTTGCATATTAATTACTCATCCCATTTTACAGACCAGCAGCTCCTGTGTTCTGCAAGGTAAAATTACGATTTTTGTCATTTTGGGATGCAAGAAGTTATGTTTTCTTTAAGTGTTTAACATAATGCAAGACGAATAACTGATGCACAAATAGTCAGTTGGGGGGGTGAAGTATTCCTTTAAAGCTAGCTTAATATAAAGACTGAACACAGCAAGTCCGACTCTATCAGTGGTAACAAAAACCACCTACCAGTGCCTCTGAAGCTCTCTAGGTAGTCTCGCTCACCAGACCTTTCTCAAGAAAAGAAAGGTCTGGCTGGGCCGACTCTCACTTTGAGATTGGAGAAAAAAACGCACCGGCTGCTTGTACTTCTTTCAACCAATCACAATCGTTCTGGGCGGTGCCACAGCAATGGTGCGCTTGCAAAAATATTGCTGGGGGGAAACAGGTTTTGGTGTAGCACGGCCACAAAAATATCACCTACAGGACGCGAACCATGGCAGAAAAATGGCTACAAGATCAAACACCGCAAAAGTTAGTAAAGGACGTGTTGAAAACGGTTGAAAACTGCTACACAACCGGAGGTGGTAGGGAGGGACTTCAGCGGGTGGCTTGTTCCGCCCAATGAGAGGCTGATCTCTGCAGCGAACTTCCGCCCACTCAGACTACTTTCTAGGTAACACGTTTTATCTCATTATTAAAATCTGTACAGAAACAAAGCTCTAAGAATGTAGTGGAGTATTTCTTGCCTAGAAGCAGCCGTAAAAATGTGAGGTACAACATGTTAATTAGTGAGCATAATGACAGAGCCTCGCTAGCTGTTATTATGCTAAGCTAAGCTAGCCGGCTGCTGACTGTAGCTTCATATTTAGTGTACGGACAATGAAAGTGGCATCGATCCTCTCATGTAACTCTCAGTTAGAAAGCATATGAGCATATTTCCCAAACTGTTAAGCTATTCCTTTAACAGCACAGTTAAAAACACACAGCCTCCTCTGCTGTGATTGTACCGAGTCAATAGATACATGTATGCAGGTGAACACGTGATGCTATGTTTACTGAAAGTGAGTATATATAGAGGGATATATATTTATGCTGAGGAATGCAAGCTTCTGTGGGTTGGTATGTTTGCGAGAGAAAGAAAGAAAGAGAGAGAGAGGGAGAGACAAAGAGAGACAGAGCGAGCGTTGGGTTATCACAGTGGAGGTGACCAGGCGGCGGGTTGTTCAGAGGTCAGTGGTGGCCTTGGCGGTGAGGTCCTGGATGCGGCTGGTGTTACAGTTTTTGCAGAGGACGTGTCCGTCCAGAGGGTAGCAGCCCTGGTTATCCCCCTCTGAGAGCAGGGAGCCACAGTCCTGCAGGACACAGATACTCTGTTAGTCCACAAACACAAACAGAGCCATTAGCCACGCTCACCGATCAGGCACATTCATACGCTCTCTGTGCTCACACTCTAAATGAGACATTTACTGCGTTTATAAACTCAGCCAGTGTCAAGTTACAGGAGGCTCTCTGCAGAAAAGCCTGCGAGGCTGGAGACCGTGTTTTGGTTTTCTAGCAGCTGGTGAGTCTGGAGGGGCAACAACTGGTTATTACTGGGTAACAGTCAGAGAAAATTCTTTTCTCTGAACATCTCGGGGGTTGCACTTTTATTTTAGTAGTCCCAACAAATCCAACAAAATAACCTCTCAATTCCAGGAGTCACATTCTTCCAGATACATTTTTTTATTGAATTCAAATTAATAATTGCAGTGTTATTTTTTAATTAGGACCTTCTGTATTTGTGTGTCACATTCAGACATTTACAGCTGTTATTTTAATGTATCAGATACAAATTCAGTCAACACAGCTGAACATCAGCTTGTTGTCGTTGTCATCCGTTTGTATGTTACAGTATGTATGTGTATCTATCTATAAATTGTCCATATTATTTTCTATATGCTTATTCTCTACTTTACCCTTTTTGCAGAGGTATAGTTTGTCCCCAAAAAGACAAGTAACACACACTGTTATCTGTCTCTGCTCTGATTAGTCCAGTCTGGGAGTAGATTGACTCTTAAGCCCTTTACACACCGGGGGCCTGACGAATAAACGACATGAAAATGCAAAATACTCGCCATCAGAACTAGGGATGTCAACGGTTAACCAATCATTTAACCACAGGGAATATTTTTGACCAGTTACACATGTCAGTGTGTAGGTTCATTTTGCAACACGTGAGTTTACTGCACTGAACACCAACCTGGTCTTTTGGGAGCTAATCAGCTAGTGGCACCACTGATTTGCCGATTATCGCTATTAACACCATCCCAACCTGACTATGTTGCCATGGAAACATTGTGTCCACCCTCTAGTGTCCCCCCAGGTTGCCCCACTGAGAAAGCGGCTCAATTTTGAGTCGATACCCCCTTTAGCAATGTTACCTATGTTAGCACTGTTAGCATCATTAGCAGCGTCAGCATGGCTAGCGGTGCTAACATAGTTAACAATGTGAACAGCGTTTTGCAGCTCAAAATGTAGCTAGGGGGTAAACGAGGGTAGCTACCATGTTTCCACGGCTGCAGGATGGCGTTACTAGCTGTAATCTCCAAATGAGCAGCGCTGCTCGCTAGCTTCCACCCAACCTTTTTGGTGTGCAGTGCAGAGCAGACAAGGCTAACGTTAGCTTCTCAGTTGAGACCAAAGTGTGGGCACTGGGCACTATGTTCGGCATGTTAAAGCAGCTAGCTAGCTGTCAGAAAAACTGACCAAATAAAAAAAAAAAAAAAAGAAATGGAAAAACATTTACAAAACATTAAAATGTCACCACCTCAAAATGAATAGCACTTTGAAATGTAACGCTAAAGCTCACTGAACCAATGAAGTGCCAGAAGAAAGGTAAGAGCCTTGTGTCTCATGTCATTTTGCTTTTTTTTTTTCTTAAAATGAACTGGTTAGTTTCTGGTTAATGGGTGACGGCTATCGGGAAAAAAAAAAAAAAAAAAAAAACTGACATCCCTAATTAAAGTATTCATACTGGCAGCAACACAAATTTGCAATTTCACTGAGTCTGCTTTTAGCAAAATTCTCTGAGGGAATATGAGTCCCATCTGGTAAACAGCTACACAGTGTATGTGTCCAGGGCTTTTATTGTGAAAGGTAAGACTGGAAGGAGCAAATCAAGGTTGAAAGGAGCATGAAAGTTTGCCATCAACATCAGATTCGTACGATGTGATTGGAGGATGCCTTTATTTGTGATGCTAAAGCTCAGAAAAATCAACCTTGTTCGGAAAAACAATTACATCGCTTCTTCGCTAGGTCATTCAATTCACAGTAAAATGAATGGTTGTCAGTTCCTTGAATATAGTAGTAATAAATAATCATTACAGAAACAATCTACTGATAAAAACGTCCCCAGTGTGTGATGCCTTTAATCAAGCAGATCATACATAAGACCTGAGTGATAATTGTATTTGTGTCTGTACATCTCTCGCTCTGCTCCGTGTTGTTTACTCGACAAAGCCTGAAGAAGATCTCTTAAATCGAAATGTTTCTCTGTTCTGGCACAGTGTGTGGATCTTTGGTCTGACTCCAGCCTTCAGTTTGTTTTCTGATCCAGCGTCTGTAAAACAGTGTGTTCTCTACCCTCTTCTTACAGGGTAATAACCACACACACACACACACACACACACACACACACCATGTGGACAACTTCACACACACACATACAGACTCACACATATTGCTTTGGTATTATTTTCTCATTGTCTGTGACACTGGGTTACACTCTTAACATCTCTCTCTCACACACATGCACACTCATGTGCACACACAGACGCTCTGAGAAGTACAACTCCATCTACTCATGTCTCCCTGGTGACAAAATTCTTCTCTTGTTGAGCCCCTTCAGCTGAACTAATCTGCTTTGCTTTCCTTTGACCTTTATGTCTGCCAAACGCTCTGTGTACTCACACTGGCACGGCTCTTTGACAATGTGACACGTTACTTCTCTTTTAGCCGGGCACGTAATGTCTCAGCGCCGCTTATCAGCTGGCGAGCGGCGGCTGACAGATTGGATACTATGTAAGTCCATGAACTTTGCAGAGGAGAGATGGAAAGCTATTTCGAGGCAGGTAAGAGAGGGATGATTCAGTCTCGCTGAAAAGGTGACTCGGGGGACGGGCATGCACGATATGCCTTCTACCTTCATGCCTTAATGACTGTCACCTGGAGCTTTGCAACATGGTACATAACCAGCAGGGCTAATTATAGAGAGCCCACATGCCAGAGGAGATAAAAACACATAGAGAGCATACCTCACAGCGGTAACACTGCACGTGGAAGTCGCGGTCCAGGGCCACAATACGGACGGTCTCCTCCTGGCCCGGTGCTGGCATTATAGGCTCAGAGCACACACAGCAGCGTGGAGCGAACTTCCTGTGAAACAGAACCAGCAACAGAAACGAGCTCAGAACAGTAGAACATATTGGGACCTCCAACGACAATGTGAAACCATCATTACTCACTTCCTGATATTTTCTTGATTAATTAGTTCATTGTTTGGTTTATAAATCGTCGTGAAATGGTGAATTGATCCCACCAGAGCCTGAGCTGACGTGTTTAAATTGTTTGACTTGTCTGGCCAACAGCTCAAAACCTCAAAGATGTTTCATTTACAGCAACCACAAAAAAAAATCCTTATAATCAAGTTTGCAGCCGAGTGTGAAGCAGTCGGGATGAGAGTCGGCACCTCCAAATCTGAGGCCATGGTTCTCTGCCGGAAACCGATTGCCCTCTCTGGGTTGGGGAGAGTTACTGCCTCAAGCAAAGGAGTTCAAGTATCTCGGGGTCTTGTTGGTTTGGCGGTTTGGTGCGGCTTCTGCAGTGATGCGTGTGCTGCGCCGGACTGTCGTGGTGAAGAGGGAGCTGAGCCAGAAGCTGAAGCTTTCGATTTACTGGTCCATCTACGCCCCACACCTCACCTATGGTCATGAGCTCTGGGTAGTGACCGAAAGAATGAGATCGCAGATACAAGCAGACGAAATGAGTTTCCTCCGTGGGGTGTCTGGGCTCAGCCTTAGAGATAGGGTAAGGAGCTCGGACATCCAGAGGGAGCTCAGAGTAGAGCCGCTGCTCCTTCGTGTTGAAAGGGGTCAGTTGAGGTGGTTCGGGCATCTGATCAGGATCCTCCAGGGCTGGAGGGATTACAAATCTCATCTGGCCTGGGAACACCTTGGGTTCCCCTATGAGTTAGAAAGTGTTGCTAGGGAGAGGGATGTCTGGGGTGCTTTGCTCGGCCTGCTTCGCCTGCGACCCGGCCCCAGGTAAGAGGATGAAAATGGATGGATGGGAAATAACTTAAATTATGGAATGTAAAAATAAGGATTTGATGTTTTCTGTTATTTATCAATTGATTTATTAATCAATTGAGCTGGATAAGACACAATGTGTAATTAATCAACCATTAACATTTTTTTTCCAAATAATTTTCTGTCAATTGACTGGTACAGCATTTCCTAAACATTTGTCTCATGAGGCGGGCATCTTCTGCTAGCTCACCTAGCACCACTGAGCTCGCCAATGTTAAGGCTCAGCCAAGGAGGACGCCATTATGTTTACATCTCATGTTGTCATGGGCACAAGCCTCTTGTTCACGTGAAGATGCACACTTCCTTCTGTGCGGTTGCACAATTGGCGGATGTAGTTCGGTAGACAGAAAATCTCTTCTTCTTCAGCTGCTCATCTGTGGATTATCTAGAGTAACTAGGTCATGATTTCTTGAAAGAGACATTGCTGTTGAGGTTTTCAGGTGTATTTTTTTGGCGCTTTGAGCACCACAAGCCGAGTCCCATCTAGTCCCATTATGTTGGAGAGAAGACAGACTTCTCTACAGCCGATATCTTCAACACTCAGCAACTCATGACAAAACAATCTAGACTGAGATTCAACAGGTAAGAATAAAAATATATATTTTTGAATTTGGGATGAAGTGTCCCTTTAAAAATTCAGTCTACTTGCGACTCTCTGTTGATAATCACTTCATGAACCCTCAGGTTTATCTTATGACCTCTTGTGGGGGTCCCAACTCATGTTTGGGAACCCCTGGACTGACCGATCTATCGACAAATTGTTTCAGTTCTTCACACACCAGTAAAAATACATGATGTTATAAAGAACAATGGTGCTTACACTTTATGAAACATTTATTTTAAACAAAGACAAACACATAGCTTGTGCATTTTGTTCTGCTGTTACCTCCGCCAAGGAGGTTATGTTTTCTGATCGATTTTTGTTTGTCAGCAGGATTACAGGAAAACTACTGGCCCAATTTTTAAGAAAGTTGGTGGAAGAGTATAGCCTGGGCCAAGTAAGAACCCATTAAATTTTGGAGTGAATCCAAATCACAGGGCGGATATATGAATTATTTTTCACTTTTGTTCACATAACGAGATGGGGCATTTGGCCTTGGTGAAGGTCTGCGCTCTTCAAGTGCCCTTTTAGTTTAATTTTGATTCACTCAACCATCGAGGTGGCACTAAAAGCTAAATTTGCCCTTCTCTGAAATATTTCACATCAACAGAATATTTGAGGAAAAGCTAAACAAGCTGTGGGATTTTTACAAAATATTACAACTGAATTTCACAAAAAAAGTTTCAAGCTCTCGAATTGGTAACTATGGAAATGCCTTCAGGAGGAAGAAGTCTATCTAACAAAAGGATCACTGAGGATATGAAAGGCACACTGATTCTCAGGTCCTGTCAGGTGACTGATGGCCGGTGGACACTTCAATTTCTGATGCCGATTGAATGCATGGGAATCAGGAAGTGAAGGGGATGTGTGGTTTTGGGGAACCACAGCTGCACTGTATTAGCCAGAGAAAAAGCTCAGGCGCAGGCGTGACTATTCCTCGACACAAAGGGCTGCGCTGTTGAGGTCACACTTGTCATGTGGAATTAAACAACGGCCCAGTGCAGCTACTCCACAAAGAAAAAGCTGTGCACTCACACCAAGAGCCAGCTGTTTACTTCTGTTTCCCTTCTGGTCACTGAGTAAAGGAACATTTCTGGTAAGGTGCTGGTTATGCAATCGGTGGAGTGTGACACAATGACAGGAATTTACTATTAAATTCATGTCCACAACCACATTTAATAAGGTCATTGGGCTTGTGACATTACCCGCAATATTTCCCAAAAGGGAAGCGCCAAGATCTCGGATTGATTAGGCTGAAATACGCATAGGGAGAGTAACAGATTTTAAAGATTTTAAAGCAGAACTAGTTGATTTAGCCACTTGGAGTAAGTGGAACAAGTTGTAAATACAAAACCGACACATTCGGCTGACAAAGAACAACATTAGCGCTCATTTGGAGTCGAATCGAATCAAGTTGAACATTCACTCGTCTTTTAAATGAGCTCTATATAATATTAAGAGCGTTGATATAATATAGCAGCCAACAGCTTTTTGTGCTCATACAGCAGTTACCACCAATATCGGGACAGTGTCGTTGAGTCCACTTAGCGCCCACCCTCTGGTTCCCTTCAGGTTAACACCATTAGCTCTGTCAGCACTGTTGCTGTTGTTAGCACTCTTCACACTGTTAGCATTGTTAGCTGCCAGCCACTGGATCAGCCACCTTCATGTTGAGAGCTGTGTGCAGAAAATGTCTGAATCATAGATGCGTTCTGAATATCGAATAGAGAGCTCTTTTAACTCTGATTTAGTTAAAAGAGGCCCTTCTGTGCAGAGTTTGCATGTTCTCCTGCGTGGATTTTGTCAGGGTACTCCGGCTTCTTCCCCGGGGACGGTGAAGAACGGGCCAACTTACGAGAGAATCACCAAAGGACTGACCAGCTGTGGCTTCCCTCCCACGTCACTGTTTATGTCACATGCTGAGCTACACGTTTTGTTACTTGCTCACACCCCCCACTGCCCTGAAAAAGGCGCATTCTGTATAAACAATAGTAGGTAGGTGGCAATTTTGACGATGAAAGATGCTAAAATCCTCCACAGAATCAAGTCATAATTATCTATGAATCATTATTTATATGAAAATGGTAGTTTGTGCAGCTTAAAGGAAAGTTGGAGACATGGTATGCTAGTTTCCTGTAAAACGGCTTGTTAGATGAGAGGATGTGTGTAGTTTAGCTTAGCAAAAGTACTAGCATCAGGGTAAAACTGCTAACCTGGACAAACAAAATCACGGCATTTCTTAGACTGGATGAAACCGCAAGTAGCTTGCTAGCTAACAACACTAACCCCTAACTCTGACAGCAAATAACACAATTTTGAAGCTATTTTAAGTCTTTGAAATTGGAAAAGGAAAGTTGACATATATCACCACTGACTAATGTCATCAAAAATTCCCTTTCCTTTTAGCTCTGACTCAAGCTGTTGAATGCTCCACTACGTTTACTGGAGTACTGTGCCGTTTTTCCAACAGCTTATAATCCTGGAGCCCCAATCATGCGAAAGATGTCCCATTGTACTGAGAGGCCATTTGTCACAGAGCCTGGTATAACGAAAACAAATGTGCTTTGCTCTGAGGATTATTTCTCTGACAGCACTCTCCTGAACAGAAGCACAGAGCTAATTATTATGCAGGATGACATCATCGGACCGTCTTGCTACGTCGAAGGTATGACCCGCCCTACTCTGCTTCTAACTGACCTCACCACTCAAACCTTATGGACACAACCAACGAAGGCGATGAGTGCTACCCAATCAGAGGCAGAGTATGGAGGTCCAGTGATGTCATTCTGCATAATAATTAGCCATGTGCTTCAGGGTAACGGCCCTTCAGAACAATTTGTTCTCTGGATGCCAGGCTGTTGGACAAATGGGCTTTTGGTCCTATGGGACATTCTTCGGACTACTGAAGAAGACTGGGGAGGCAGCCTTTGTCAATTACACCCCAAAGCTATGGAACACACTACCTATAGATATCAGGGAAGCCAGCTCGCTAAATATTTTACATTTCCTGATACAAGCCTGAAATTCATTCTTTTTACACTTCATGCTGCTGCAACTCTTTTAAAATCTTACTTGATTTTATGATATATAGTTTTGCAATTCTATGATTTTTTGACTCACTAACTAGTTGTTAACTTCGTCTGTCTGAAATCTGACGCTGCTAGCGTACAGTATGGAGCTTTTTCTTTGAAAACTGTGGCCTGCTGTATCAGGAAGGACAAAGATGAGACTGAATCAAACACTGCCAACAGGACCATAAAATGATGAGCTGAGGGGAACTGCAGAGTTTCATTCTCTGTGAGTTTGTCACTGTGAGCACATGTTACATAAAGTAATTTGATCATTTGTTGATACAAAAACATTTATTTTTAACCCGATGAAATCCTTAACTACGTACTTGTGAAAGTCCTCGATGCAGTGGATGTGGTTGGACGCGTCCACAGTGAAAGGGATGCCGTCCAGGCTGCGGTGGCACACCACACAGGTGAAGCAGTGAGGGTGGTAGGCTTTCCCTGTAGCCCGCAGGATGCGCTCCATGATGGGCTTACTGCAGATGGTGCAGGTCTCAAGGGTGTTCTGCAGACACAAACCCACAGACACCCACACGATTACACAACAAACCTGATGATGAATGTAGTGATTCTGATGATTCATTTCTAAAGACCCTTTGAGTGTTTATTTACAATTAGCACTTGTCTGCTAACAAATTCTAACCAGTATGAGACATTTAGAAAAGTTTTGTAGCATTTTCTCCTGTTTTGAGTATGTGGTTTTTAACTTCCTGTTGCCTGTGTTACACATCAGATGGCGTGGCGCCCATTCGTGCCCGTGCAACAAATAAATCCACTCTCAGGACCTTTAGCTCGGCTGTCCTCAAATGCCTCTGAAGCTGAAGGAATCTGATTAGCGCTCCTCTCGAAACACAAACACAGTCATTTTTCAGCTGCCCTCGCCCACACTTCATCCTCCCATATGCAAGAGAGCGAGCAGTAAATATTTCCACTTTGTGATGACTGCAGGTTTTCTGCAGCCAGGCGACTGGGCAAGCGGCCCGCGGGGGGACGTGGCAGCCGCCTGCCTCTGACTTATCTGTGGCATCTCTCTTCTTAATATCTACCGGGAGACGCCATTTGTTATTTCAATATTTCATAAATAACGACCGCCTCTCTAAACAGCAATGCAATTACTGGGGATGGATATATCATGTGAGGGTGATCAATGTGCGGCCTGATGTGGCTGTGTGTGGAGCTGACGGGCCCCGCTGTCGCTGCTTCTCGCTCAGGCATTTCCTGGATCTCTGTGTCTCTCTGCTCTCCCCCTCTTTTTCTGCGCTTGGCTGGGCTAAAGAGTGCACGGTTCAGCTGTTCCCATTGGCTCCCACTGTAGTAGCAAGCTGCCTCAGTGTTTCCAAACACAGCTCGGGGTGTGTAGCAACACTGCGCTGCGTCATCGGCTGCCTCCCAGACGCACCGCTGGGCCCTGCCGTTTAAAATGACACTTGTGTGACCGCTCGGCCGAGGTAAACTCCCAGCTCCCGCCTGTCCGGCTGCGGAGCACGTGCAGTGACATTTATAGTCTATATGCTAATGAGCAAAGGCAGCTTTACAGAATGAGGTTCATTGAAACTACGATGTAAAAACGTCCCTGACATGATTCCATGTGCTGTCTGACTTTTGCCTCTCATGTGTCATTGGAGGGTGAGAGGGCAGCGGATGAGAGCAGCTGATGTATGACTCCAGGCTGCGAGAAGGTGCTTTGAAAAATGGCCGTTTCTTCAAAGCACTCCTGGAGAGGCATTATTTCATGAAAAGCAATGTGTGCAGACAAGCTCAGCATTCTTATTTGTCTTTTTTTCCCCTCCCTTCAAGACGGTAATAGAAATAAACATTATTCCCAGGGCAACATTTGTGTATAAACAATGTCCATATTGCAATCCTGCTCGATCCTGGAAGTGGAATGAAGCCTTTAATGAGCTTGCTGCACTGAGCCCTTGAGGTTTGCCTCACGCACGCACACAGAGACAGAGAGAGGTAGAGGTAGAGACGGAGAGAGAGAGGGAGAGAGAATATATTTGCAACCTGAGAATGGGAGTAAGATACCGGGGCCAAACAGCACTAAACCATCCTCAACTCTTACTCATCTGTCTGCATTCCCACTTACTTATTCTCATCTGCCCTTCATGTGGGAATACCTTGCCCTTGTTTAGCTTAACTAGAGCATATGATTTCACAGCACACAGTTCCTCCGGGCCATTGTAATGAGTACAGTACTCAAAAGACAAAATTTCTCTCTTTCTCTCTGATGGTAAGATTCTATGACCTCAATTCATTCATTGCGCTCAGCCTCGCTTGTTTTTTATTCACTCGTGACTCCTTTTATTCGGCATTAGGTAACATTTAGCAGGCCTGTTACACAAACCGATGTCAAAACAGAAAACGTACATGAGTCTCGGTGTGTGTTTGGGCACAACCTCCACAGATGGTTTAAGGAAATTCGGCATAAGTGACTTCATGCCCTCTCTGTCAGACATCCAGGTCCTCTGCAGTTTGCCACTAGAGGGCTGTATATGTCTGCAGATGTCCGGGTTTTGCTTTCCCCTGACTAAATGTGATGTATTCAAGCATATGTATTCTTTTTTTCCCCCTCTCTCCCTCATACATTTCTCTAAGTGTTCGCCCAGAAGGCTAAACAAATGTCTAGGCAGATGAGGTAAAGTGAATTTAGGTCAGACAGCCTCTTGCTGAACTGAGGGGTGAGTGGAGTGCGTTAAAGTCAATTGTGGCCCCTTTTCCCCCTCATTGTAACCCGTTAGCTTTTGCTACAAAGTGCTATCATGGTCTTAATCCAAAGCACGCTGATGCCTGCACAGCCCGGGTCCAGCTTCCCACTATTTAGCAACGGGCTCCCAAACGACGTTTGACACAGCTGTCTGTTGGAATGAGGAGTGTGATGGCAAACAAAGCATGTAACAGGGAGTTAAGAGGTCCCATGTGCTCGGCTCTGAACACGAGACACAGGCCTGACAGAGACAGAGAGGCAGCGGCACAGACAGTCAGACAGCTCACATCGTTTAGTGTCACTTTCAGTCTGTTATTTAAAGAACCTGAATGAAGCCGGATCATTTTCTCAATTTCTCCAGTAAATCAGCTTGTAACTCATGAATTTATTGGATCCAATGATATTTCCTTTATACTTTATTAGATTTAGCCTTGATTCAGTCCTCACCATAAGGTACCTGGTAATTCTTTTAACGTAGCTTTCATTGTGTGTTGTGTTTTTATGATAATGTGTTCTAATGTGTTCTGTCTGGATGTGATGTGATGAGGCTTAATGTCCTCTCTCTAATAATAGACTTTGTAGACGCAAACCAAAGACAAATTTCTAACTTAAGCACGCAAAAAGTAGACAATAAAATATTTTGTATTCCATTTCTGCTCGATTCCAAACATGTACATCATCTACAAGTCAATTAAAACCCAGTAAGGTATATCACCCTAACACGAACCTGTATATCTTAATTCATTTAATTTCATTCATTATTTAGGGGTGTGTGTGTGTGTGTATTTAATGTGTGTTAATCTCTTTTTTTGTATTTTTTTTTCTAGTATGTGTGTGTGTGTAGATATATATACTTATATATATCTTTGTTACATTTCTAAAATAAACGACGATATAGCTGGAGAAGCCACAACTTTTGATTCATTTACAGATACTTTTCTCAATCAATTAACCGGCCTCAAAGCCCCTTAATCTATATTAAATTTACTATAATGTACTCGAAAAGAAGAAAAGCAGCATTTAAGCAGGTGGAACTATCAACGGTCGGCCGTTTTTGCTTAAAAATAGGTAATTAACTGATTATCAAAATAGTTGCCAACTCATTATTATTCATGGTATTTAAAAAACGCTGCAGTCTTTATTATATTAAAAGTTTGAGCTGGGCGACAAGTAGAAAATCAAATATCACAATAACTTAATATCAACATTATGAAGATATTATAGGGTTGACAATTGATAGGATCCATGATACAATACTGTCACGATACTTCAGTCATGACACAATATTATTACTATTTTAAATATGCTGTGATATGCTGAGTATTGGGATGAAATATATTGCGATATAAGTTTTTAGTCCGTTCATCGAACTTCAGCCATTTTTGCAGCAGCAACAGAATATATCTGCAGGACTGTAAAACAAATGATTATATTATTCTAGTAGGCTACCTAATGTTTAATCTGTATTAGTCACACAAATAATTTCCATGATAAAAAAACTTGGCACCTTGTGATGACACGATATTGCCACAAAAAATATCACAATACTATGCTGTATCAATTTTTCCCCTCCCCTAACAACGAGCGCTTTCCCATTTTGTTTGAGTCTTGCACGCCACAGACACTGACCCCCTCTGGAAGCTGATTGGCCCCCTGGAACCCAAACTACCAGAGTAAATGCCGTCTATAGCAGGGACAAAACAAAAAATAAAAAACGCATATAGAACATTTGTTTAAGTTCAAACCTTGGACACAGAGGCCGATGCAAATATTTACATTCCGTGCATCTTACCAAAAATGTTCCACCGTAACACAATCCTCTATTCATCGTTGTTTTTACTATAATAAACCCACACTCAGCTCTACACACTGGAGACGGGTCTGTTAATTAGGGCTGAACGATATAAAAAATCAGATATCATGTTATTTTTGACCAAATACCGTGATAACGATATTAATATAATATTTTGGGATGCTTTGGTGCTTTCACAAAATATCTGCACATTGACATTTTTGACAAACAATCATCAGTAATGTGGATATAATGACTGAGTTGAAAAAGGCAAAATAAAACAACGGCTAAAACAGTCTGGTAAGATCAGAAATTTACATCACTTTACTGTCACGCAGCCTTTAAAACCAAGAAAAGGCAACACTGAGATGATGTCTAGTCTCATCAAGATAACACTGATATACTGCCCAGCCATACTTTAAATTATATTCAGTTGACTATGATATACAAGACGAGAAGAAAAGCAGCAAGTCCTCCCAATTTAACATGCTTTCAACATCAAATGTTTGCCATTTTTTGTTTGGAAATGGACGAATGATTGATGATCAAAACAGTTGCCAACTCATTATTATTCACTGTATTTAAATGCTGCTGCAGTCTCAACTATTATATTAAAACTGTTTAACTACATGATATAAATCAATACTTGCATCACTGGTTCACTCAGGGTTCAAGGATTCAGCCTCAGAATGATTCAGTCTGTGGGTTGTGCAGCTACAGGTAAAACAAAGCTGGAACAAAGCTGTATTTTCCATGTTTGCAGGTGAGACAGTAAACAGTTGGAAATGTGCTGTGGCATATTGCAAAGTTTAAGCCACTCACCATCCCCACAACACACATTTTACACCTATCTGTTCTTTTATTTTTTTCACATGGCCAAGTTGGGCTGACAGGAGGCAGGCTGGAGTTCACTGAGACTGCACGCGATTTATGACCTGGCACGCTGAACTCAGAGCGGGCCAAATTTACAGATGATCTGATTCAGTGTGTGTGTGTGTCCAGACCC